ACACACACACACACACACACACACACACAAACACACAGACAACCCCGTGACAATATGCGTTTTGTATTGCTGTTACACAGCATAAAATGTTTAAAAATAAACAATTAAGGCGCAGAATGTGAAGTACGGAAAAATTTTTGCTGAAAGAGCACGAGCTTATATCCACTTTTATATGTCCACTTAATTAGCTAAGTTAGCTTGGGTCCATTTTTTGGGTGGCGTTTATGAAATTCTTTTTAAACCAGATGTAACTAACTTTGCATTTAATATTAAAATTACGAGAAGAATTTGGAATTGACGCGGGGACCTACCAGAAATATCCCATTTTGCCTCATTTGAATATTGGAAGTACAAGAGGTTGAGAGTGTACGTGATGGGTGGTTTGCGGCAAGGGGCGGCCTGGGAGCTCCAGCGATGTGCACTGTTCTCTCATGTGATATTGCAGGTTCTAGCGAGAATGTCACTGGCGGATGAGTTGCTGGCCGACTTGGAGGAGGATGAGGAGGTGGTGGAGGAGAACGAGCAGGACGGAGTGGAAGGCCTGGAGGAGGTCGATGAGCAGCTACCGAATATGAATCTCTACGATCGGGTCGGCTCTGTCGCCAAATTATCCAATACGCAAAGGTACGCTTAATCTATTATTTTTACTATTTTTTCTTAAATTTTTACTACCCAGAGGTGCTATTTTTTTAATATTTTCAATGTTTTAATTGTTTATTTTCTTAATGTTTTTAATTTGTTTTTGCGAAAAAGCGCTCATATTGATAGTTATGAATAAGTGAACACTCAAAGGTCGAGGGGGATGCCGTAAAAGCTTCGTCTTTCGAAAGAACGAAGAACGAAAATAAGAAAATAGGCGCTAACCGCAGCAGTAGGATTAGCCATCAGATAACACAGCTTCAGATATCGCAGCTATGGATAATTTCAAAATGTACTGATAGCGCGGATGAAGTGTTAACTGACGGCCAGAAAATATTTAGTTCGGGGCAGAACAAGGATATACTTTAGTTGGCTGTACCACCACTGATTCAGCTGGCAACTTCTCCATTCTTTGTTTTGGGTCCCTGTCTGATCCGCATAGTCTCATTTTGCCATTCAGTGGGGTCCTTCCGTCGCATTGACCGCCACAAATTCGTTTAGAATTGTGTGGAAACTGCTGTATAACTTGCTTTTTCTATCTTTGGTATTTCGTAAAATTGTTGTTTAAGTTGAAACACAATGCTTCATTCCATCTAATTTACAACGGAATAATATCAGAATGTTTGTACTATTTTCCCCCATGCAAATCTTTGTTTTGTATTATTAAGACAGTTTTTCCTAACATATACTGACTAAAAAGTGAAGGGATGTGAATTTTTATAGATTTTTTTCTCGCTTTTTCCCTTTTCTTTTATATTTAAAGGTAAGATAGGAAACGAAAAGAAAAAATAAAGGAAGGGAAGGAGAGTATTAAAATATTTGTAATCGGTAAGAAATGTTTCGGTTCATTAAGTCATATACATTTCTTACCGTTACCACAATTGGACCTCGTCAGTACTACGATTATACTGCATTATAATAATTGCAAAAGCTAACCCACACTTC